AAAATTTTTAACTTATTGGCATATCATCAGAAAAGTATTTTTGACTCGAAAAAGTTATAACCTGAATAACTTGCCAGAAATAACCGAGATATTCGTGTTTCAATCTTTAAGGGGAGGTTTTCATTGCGGCGACGAAACAAAGCCGAACATTTTACATTCTTTTGCAAGGAACTGTTATGACATATCAATCTATTTTTTTTATAAATAAAGATACATCCTTAAGCTTTTAAAAAATATTCTTTATTTTCAAAAATTTTTTAAACGTCGGCCAATATGGCGATTTTAAAAAACAATGTTTTTTTTAAAGTGAAACGGTAGGCACTCGCACTCATCAATTTTGAACGTAGAACAAAAAACCAAAATTTTTTATGAAGCTGACATCCTAAAGAATAGACTATACCTATAAAATGGTTAAAAAGTTGTATAAATGACAAAATGGCTGACAATTTTTTAAAAACGTGCGATTTTTGCACTATTTTTTCATGTCTAACCCCTTGTAAAAAAGGTTTATTGTTAAAAATTATACCATATTATAGGTATAACCCCAGCAGAATTTAGTTATCTTTCATTTACCGAAAACTGGAAGTTAATTGGTTGGATAGTTCAGACGCTAGGATGCCCACCAGTTTGAAAAATCTTGTTTCGAGAAAAACGCGTTTAATGTTTTGGAATCATTTTTAGATGAAATATTAATATTCTTGGTTCGATCTGCGCAAATCATGGGTATCTATAGGTTTTTGAGATCGCTGATCACGATTCGTAGTAAGTCATCTGTTGATAAAAATGTCGATAGCAATTTTAATTAAATATGCATTAAAGCGATTAAGGACCACGCAATCATCATGCTACCTCAGCGCTCAGGACACCGGTAAGTTCAAGATCCTGTAGAAACGAAAATATTTTCCGGATTTCAAAATCACTTCATTTACTTATTCTACACATATGTAGCTTTCAAAAAATACAATAAAAAAATCGATTTTTTGAACTCCCGCAATGAGAACCTCCCCTTAATTTTGTTTGTCCCAAAATGATGTTTTTGGCATTCTAAAGTTCGAAATTTTGTAACTCCGTGGTTTTTTTCACTTAGAGGGTTCCAAGACTTCTTAAAATTTCGCAAATTTTGCCAAGAATACTTTTGTGTATATAAGTCCCTTTTCATGAGGACGTCGACAAATAATTTTAAAGTTACGAAGTAATTTTTAACTCTCTAGATCAAATAATTTAAAAGATAAAAGATAGACTTTTTCTAGAAAATCTCAATTTTTTCAATATGACTACATTAAATTCAATTCTAATCAGATTCAGTATATTTTTTTTTAATTAACACAAAAAAGTACATATATGTATACGAACTTTGAGGTTTCTGATTCAGAAAGATTTAAAATTAAAGAGTTTAAGGAGCATAAATAGTATTTTGTGCTTATATTTGCATGGGTTTAAAAAGCGTCGGAGCTTGCGAAACTGTTACGCGGTCTACGGCCGTGTTGCGTTTATACATGGCGGCAGCGCAAAAAAAGTTGTAGACGGGATAGGGATGGCAAAGATGGTATTTTGTGTTCATATTCGTATAGGTTTAAAAAAGGTGGAACTTGTAATATTGTTACGCGTCCTACGGCCGCGTTGCGTTCATACGGGGCGGCAGCGGAAAAAACTTACGTTTTTGGTGAAAAATAGATATTCCGTTAACATTTACCCCAATTGACCCTATTGCAATAAATTTACAGCTTTTGATAATTTTTTATTTAATAGATGTATTACAATACTACAATACTATTATTTAAAAATAAAATATTGAACATATTACAAATCAAAATTATTTTATTAAATTACAAAAATTTATTTTTAACAATGCATGTAATAGATACCTTTCATTATAATTAACATAAATGTACAATGTATTACAACTTAATATCACAATATAAGTCTTGTCAGTATTATTTCATACAAATTCTGAGATATCAGTTAATATATTTAATGAACTATAAGTGGAATTAATGATAATTCCATTACATTCTAGTATAATGAATTATGCAAAAATCCTGAGAATTTTGATATCATATTTGATATATTTAATAAACTTCAATTAAAACGTCGTGATGCAATTGTTCTATAAACTTTTTCATTTACGAAATGAAAATCTACAATGTTTTTAATCAATAATTAAAAGAAAAATATATTTTATTTTTAAACGATATTAAAAAACTTTCAACTAAAATAAATTAACCAATCTTTTTTATATATAATTTTAAAATAAAAAATGTTTTAACCAGAATATGTAATTATTTTTTGCTTGAAAAAAATTAATTTTATTTCAGTAAGCGATGAAAAATTTTGTAGACTTTAATTTTGTGTTCATTTAGAAACTAAAAAATAATTTAAACCAAATTGGAACAATTTCAAAAATAAAGATATCATTTTTTTTGTCTTGAAAAATAATTTGAAGTTTTTTTCGATAATTAAATTTTTAAATTGAAAAATAAACATGAAAGAATTTTTTTCTACAATATATGCAATGAGGTTAGTAGAAACATCTATTAAAGCATATAAATAATAAAAGTAAAAGTAACTATTTGTAAAGAATGCTATAATGTATTGATACATGAGTTGTTTAACATAAAGTGCATATTGTCAATTAAATTTGAATTTAATTGAAACAATTTTTTGTTGTAACTAAATATATATACAGTATCTTGATTCAAAGAATTTCTTCGAAAAATAGTCTCAATAATCAGAAATTTTATTATTTCAGTCTTGAATTCTTAAAAAATGAAAAAAATAAAAGAAATTCTAAGTAGGGGAATTGCTTTTTCAAGAACTATTATAAATTATAAATTAATGTAAACCTATACTTTACACAAAAAGAAATACAATTATGCTGTACACTAGTTTGAAAGTGATTAATCAAAAACCTTTTATTATTTAAGTGCTTTAAAATAACAAAATAACAACCCTTAAATTGCAAATATACATCAATGTAAAATTTTAAGAAATTAACTGTTATACCTTAAAAATATGTAAATTGTTATATGAGGCAAAATTCCTGAAATGTTCGAACAAAAAATTAAAAGTTCTCGAATTTAATCCATACTTTTCTAAAATGTTGTTATTGTTGGTGAAAGTCTAAAAATCAATTATTATTGAATTTAATAAAATAATTTTTGAATTACAACGTTTTTAATTTTTGACTTTTGAAAAAAAAATTTTTTTTCAATGTACAATATTTATAAGTAGAATGCATAAAAGTTAACATATATATAATGATTTTTAAAGCTTTTTTGACGAGCTACACGCTCTTAATAAAATTTTTTTTTTTAAATAACATTTGACCTTGAAATTCAAGGTGAAAATGTTAATTTACGTTTATCTCAAAATCGGATTTTTTAAAATTATTTTTAACTATCTCAATGGAAAGCTTGACTAATTTCCTATAAAATATGTAATTTTCAGAGTGGGACCTTTTAAAGTTTTTGAGATATTAATTAATTAATTAATTAATGTTTATAACAAATGAAATATTTTACAAACGAATAAAGTTACCGTAATTCTGAAGTTAGTAATTGAAAGTTAACGTAATTCCGCATCCAACGAGCCCTATATGAAGTATTTTGGATAAGTAGATTGTTAATAAACAATTAGTTAACATTGCAATTGTTTATTAACAATCTACTTATCCAAAATACTTCATATAGGGCTCGTTGGATGTGGAATTACCTTAACTTTCAATTGGTTAGTTTAGATTTATGATAACTTTATTTGTTTGTAAGATATTTCATTTTTTACTAACAACAAGCATCCAAAAGCCCTAAATGAAGTATTTTTGTTCAATTTTAGTTAAATAACAATAAAAAATGAAATATCTTACAAACAAATAAAGTTATCATAAATCTAAACTAACCAATTGAAAGTTAAGCTAATTCCGCATCCAACGAGCCCTATATGAAGTATTTTGGATAAGTAGATTGTTAATAAACAATTGCAATGTTAACTAATTGTTTATTAACAATCTACTTATCCAAAATACTTCATATAGGGCTCGTTGGATGCGGAATTACGTTAACTTTCAATTACTAACTTCAGAATTACGGTAACTTTATTCGTTTGTAAAATATTTCATTTGTTATAAACATTAATTAATTAATATCTCAAAAACTTTAAAAGGTCCCACTCTGAAAATTACATATTTTATAGGAAATTAGTCAAGCTTTCCATTGAGATAGTTAAAAATAATTTTAAAAAATCCGATTTTGAGATAAACGTAAATTAACATTTTGACCTTGAATTTCAAGGTCAAATGTTATTTAAAAAAAAAATTTTATTAACAGCGTGTAGCTCGTCAAAAAAACTTTAAAAATCATTATATATATGTTAACTTTTATGCATTCTACTTATAAATATTGTACATTGAAAAAAATTTTTTTTTTCAAAAGTCAAAAATTAAAAACGTTGTAATTCAAAAATTATTTTATTAAATTCAATAATAATTGATTTTTAGACTTTCACCAACAATAACAACATTTTAGAAAAGTATGGATTAAATTCGAGAACTTTTAATTTTTTGTTCGGACATTTCAGGAATTTTGCCTCATATAAGCAATATTCAATATAAATTCTATTATATTCTACTATCACGAATTGTGCGAATTTTCGGAGATCTTATGTAATATATCTAAAAAAAATTGAACTGCAATTATTATTAATTCTATTACATTCTACTGTCATAAATTTTGCATAATTCTTTAGATCATAATCTATAAATTTAAAAAACTTAATTTGGAACGTTGTGATAGAATCGTTCTGTAAACATGTCTATTTACGAAATCAAAAAGTCTATAACGTTTTTAATCAACAATTAAAAAAAAATTTTTTTTATATAACGATTTTAATTAAATATATAACTGAAAAAGATTTTACAATATTTTTTAATATAGATAATTTTAACATCAAAAATTTAGAAACCAAAAATGAAATTATTTATTGCTTGAAAAATAATTAATTTTTTTTTTATTGTTGATAGAAAATATTAAAAAATGTAATGTCGTATTAATTTACATTCTTCTGCGTGCACCTGGCGGTACTTCGGCTTCTCCTAAAGTTCTTTTTAATTCGTTTCGAACGTTTAATAATCTATCTAAAGACATTGTCTCGTCGGGAATTAATTCTATATCATTACTATGATTCACTTGTAGATGTAATCTGTGTCCTAAAAATGTTCAAGTTAAATTTATTTTACATAATTTAACACTATCTAAACATTTTTTAACATTTAATTGTAGAAGCATTTTTAACTTAATATTATGCTTTATAGCAGGCTTCGAAGCGTAGAAAGAGATTTAATAATCTATGAAAAAATATCAATTTTTAAACAAAAAGTATCTCCAAAATTGGAAAAAAAGGTGGAAAAGTGGCATTTACAATAAAGTAAAATTAGTTTTCCTAAATTTGAAGTTAAAATTTAAATATTTTCTTGTCTACAAAAATTGAAAGAAACATTCACAGGAATAAAGTTAACATCATTTTTCTCCTTATAATTAAAAAAAAATTATCAATTGTTAATATCGATTATCTCTTGTTTTGTATAATGATAGAAGCGCATGAATATTTCATGAAAATCATTTTTCACATAATTTTTGTTTTTCATAATATCATTTAATACAAAATTTGTTTTCAAGCATTTGTTTACTTAACGGAATTTTTAAAGTAGCGAATTTTTATTTAAGAAAATTTGTATTTTACAAATTTTGTTTCTCCAATTCTTTCTTTAAAAAAATTATAATTTAACTAAATTTTAATTTCTTAAAATACTTCTTTCGTAGGTTTTTAAATAATTCCACTTTTAAATCCTAGAACTTGAAATCGGAAGTTTATGTAAAATCGAGATAAAATATAATTTTAAAACAACAATTTGAATTAAAATCTAAAAAGTTCAATTATTTCTCAAAATCTTAACACTAACTCTTTTAAAAATTTTATCTAACGTTTTTTACTAAAGTAATAATTTTAATTAATTGTATACAATTATTGAAAAATGTAATTGAATATTTCTTAATTACAAAATTTGCTAAAACTTTTTCAATGTTTAAAATATTGATAATAAATTTCATCAATTCTAATTCATTAAAATTTTAATTCAACATCTCCTAAAAATAAATTATTTTGAAAATGTTTGAATCAATCTTTTTGTTTAATATTAAATATTTATATTAACTTACATTAAGATCCTTATATTTTAATTATTTGAAACATTTATTAAATACAAATTATTTAAAATTCAATTATTGTTGAATTTTATAAAATATCTTTAACAACTCAATTTCAAAACAATTTTAATTAATAATTTAAATTTATGTATAAAAAAAATTAGGTATACAAAAATTTGTAAAATAAAAATTGTCCAAAAGAATTTTGCCAAATTAAAAATTCTATTAAATACAAGGTCGTTGAAAGAGAAATTTTGTTAAATGCTATTTCATAAAATAAATAATGTAAAAAACAATTATATAGAGCTCATGAGACCAATAAAAAATCATCAATAAAAAAATTCGCTATAAAGACTAAAATTCTGTCATTGTTTATAATCATTTTTGGAAAAAAGTAGCATTTAGTATCTATTAGCCAGAATTAGTAGTAAAGAAATAGCATATAGAGGAATATTAAAATAGTAAAAAAATGTGTAACTTCGAAACCTGCTTTTTCAAAAATCCACGATTTTTCGTCAAGTTTTTTATGTTCTGTAACAACCCGATTTATAAACCCTTAAAATAATAATCAGCTTACCTTGTGCTTCTATCGTGCCAGTTAATGACAGCTTCTGGCCCTTTTGAAAATTCCCAACGCCTTGGATGCTAGGAGTCCTCACTTCCAATTTACTTGTGCCGTCTGTTATTGACCCACAAGCAAACGTGCCTACATTAGGATAGGCTCCCATTCTTTGCTCGATGAATTTCGTTTTTAAGAAAGCAAATATTTCTATAAAGTAAATTATATCATTGAAATTATTTGTGAATTCAATTTATATAATAAACTGTATTTTAATTGCTCAAAATTAATTATAAAAAATTTTTTATCAAAAAATAATTAGTAATTTATGCTTAAAAAAATTTTTTATTTTAAATTTTCATTTTAAAAAAATTTAATTAGTTTTAACATTTAAATTCTATAGGTTCCAAAATTAAAATATTTTTAAAATTTTAAATATAAATTCATCTTAATATTATTTTCAATAATTTTAATTTTTTTTCTCATTACTTTATTTAAAGCATATTTCAATTAAAAAGTCTTTAAAATTTGACTTCTATAAAAAAAATAAATAATGAATTTCCAATAATAATGCAAATGTATTTATTTCAAATATATGGAAATTGAATTATAGAAGGTGTGCAAAAATCTATAACTTAAAAGTTAAATCAAGTAATTTTTGATTCTTATATTTTCAAATCGGCTTGAATTGGATTCCAATTTGATCAAACTTACTTACAAGACTGAACTATTTTAAACGACCAAACATTTTTTAATTATAAAAAATCTCTAATTATAACAAACATTTTATTTTAAACCCATTTTTAAAAATATTCATTAACTTCAATAAAATTATTCAAAAATTTAATTAATTACAATTACAAATAATTTAAATAACAAATAACATAAAATTCAAATATTTTTTTAAAATTGATAAAAAGTCAAATAGGCGCTATCCTATTTTTTCATTTTAAATTGTTTAAAAGATTAATTAAATATAAATAAAAATAATGATTTTAGCTGAGACGATAGCGACAAGCTTATTTTTCAAGAAAATATCAGAATTTTTTTCGATACCCCGAATTTTATATATCGTCTCAATCAATCACAAGACTATATTAGTAAGATAATTAATAATAAAATAAGAAGAAAATTTTTTTTTATTTATATTATTATTATTTATATTATTTTATTTATTTAAAGTCCTTTCTTTTATATATAAAAACTTTGAAAAAAGTAAAATACATTATCTAATAAAAAATTTTTTTGGAAAAAAGTCGTTAAAATGTAATATTTAATCCTTACATATAGAATTATTAAATTTTAAATTTTTGAACATTTATAATATTCAAATAATTATTCATTATAATATTTAAATTTTTATTTATATAAATAATAAGTACTTTCCAAGTATAATTCAGCAATATTGAACATTAAATTGAATTCAAATGAAAAATAATTACACTTCTTATTTTTAAAAACTATAATAAAATGTAACTTAAGACTTTAAAAATCTATAAGAAATTAAAGAGTAAAAAAATATGTGAACTATATGTAAATTAAACGATATAGTTTTAAAAAATTTAGAAAATTGTCAAAAAATAAAAAAGGTAACAATCTATAATCCCTATGTTCCCAATGTTATTATATTAGAATTATTATTAGTTAGATTAAATTATCTTACTAATTTTATTTCCCAGCTCGGTGTGGATTACGTCTGCGAGATCCACGACATCTAAAGCGACATTTTCCTCTTCAAGTAGATGCTGTCCAAGAGATGTAATCTCAGTAGTTGCAAATAATTGCAACTCAAAATGGACATTTCCTTTATTAAATTCAGCCTTTGATGGAACTCGAGCCCAGGCTCCGTCAATGTGCAAGATCTATGTATATTTGAAAAAAATTAATCTTTATATATTGATTAATCTATAGATGTGTTTAAAATATTTTAACAAATTTTTTTCATACATTTTTAATATTTACAAATTTTTTAAAAATCATTTTGTAACCATAATTTTAAATCTCATTGACGGATAAACATAAAAATAATCAATATTAACAAACGTTTTTTTGAATTAAAAATTTGTTTAAAATTATTTTCTTTCATAACTAATAAAAATACTTAAATAAATAACTTTAAAAAATGTATTAACACTTACAAATATTTTTCTTCTGTTTATAGAATTTTTCAAGTGCCATTTTTTGAGAAATTGTTTTATAATTTTGTCTAGATATATTTCTTGAACAATTAAAAATAAATAATAATTTAAGAAATAAAAATTAAAATAAAAAACAGAAATGATTTTTTTAACAAATGTAAAACAAGAAGAGGATCCTTTGTTAAAGAAATTTATATTTATTTCATAAACATTATGCTTTCTCATAGGAGATGATTAAATATATGTGGACGTCCGCACGAAAAGGTACCACTTTGGCACTATTGGACTTATCTAAATAGGCAAATTCCTGACTAAATTTGGAAAATTTTGAGTGGTCTTAGACCTTTTTAAGTGAAAAATTCGCAATGTTACAAGGATTCGAAGTTAAAAGTGCCAAAACATTAGTTTCGAGAAAAACGAGTTTACCATCAGCTCCCATGCTAATAAAAAATAAAAAATAAATTTTTTACATGTTTATAATTGCGAAAAAATTATGAGAAATGCATGAATCAACGCGGGACACTCTACAGATTGTTTTCCATCAATAAAAAAAAATCGAAAATTTGAAACATTTCTAGAAAATAGCGATTATCTCCTAAAGTAAAATCGACAAAGTGGTACCTTTTCATGCGGACGTCCACATATATTAAATTAGATAATAAATATTCAATTTAAAAAAAATATCCAATAAACTAACAGTTATTTTAAATAAAATTCAAACAGAATTTTAAATACTTTACCTCGTTTATTTGAATGTATTCTTCTAATGCATTTATATCTTCAGCGCCCCAAATACAGCACTGAATAAGTTTTCCTTCTCCATTTGAAAGAAAACATTTCAAAACTTCTGTGGTTGCTGTCACCTTTCTCTGAACTATTTTCTGTACAAACACCACTATTTCACTAAAAACATATTTAAAAAATTTTAATGAAATAAATAAATAATAAACATATAATAATAATATTATAATAATAATATATAATATAATACAAATAAATAAATATAAATAAATATAATAAATATATAATATATAATCATAATGAAATAATTAATTAAATTAATTTATTAAAATCCATATGATAGATTGTTCGGAAACATAAAAACAGTGTATAAAAAATCGTCAAGGAACAATAATGAAAATTTGTATAAATAGTTGAATTTAAAAAACAAAACAGTAAAAATGACCAATAAAAATTGATCTTGTTTAAAGATAACAATTTTTAAAACATTTATTAATAACTTAAAATCAGAATTCACTATAAAAATTAAAACAACATTATTTTAAACTATATCACAAATTTTTTATAATTATTTAAAATTTTCATTTTTTAAAAAAATTAAAATTAAATAAACAATAATAAAATAATAATATTAATAAAATAAATGTAAAAAAATTAAAATCATGAAAAATTGGAAAAAAAATTGACAATAAAAGTTAATACAAATTGTAAAATAAGTTTAAATTTTTATTAAATTTTAATTTTAAAATTTTCAACAAACATATTGTTTTTGAACTTTATATAATATATTTATAATTTTAAGTATTCAATATTTAAATAACAGAAAAAACATTTGACGGCCGTAAAGAAGATTTATTTCTATGGGTTAAAATTTCATTGATTTGTGAAAATTTTATACTTAAAAAAACACTAAGGAATGGTGAGAAAGTGTGCCGAGTATGTGGATATGATATGAAAGACTGGGAGCATGTGTTGGAAAGGTGCATGAAAGTGTCGAATGAATGGGGGGATATCTGGGGGACAGGCGACGTAATTAGATGGATCTTGGATGAAAGTGAAAAGGGTGTGAGATGGATGAAACAATTAGATGAGAAAAGAAAAGTGTGCAGGAAAATTAAGTAAATGGTGAACGCTAAAGAGAATTTTTTCGTCTTTTTGGGGACAAAAGCCAAAATTGGCAGAAAAACTGAAAACGAAGTCCAGGCACTTGAGAGAAAGAGAAAAAGCTTAACGTAGTTGCGTTCTTGCGATAGTTTTAAGGTTTTAGTTGTAGTATTATATTAAGTTATCATTAAGTTTATTTGAGAATTTGTTGTAAGAAAATTGTATATGGATCCTCAAACCTTGCAAAGCAAGAAGAGTAAATAAATATATATTCACTTAACAATAAAATTAGGTATTGCACATTTCTAACAAAACTTAAGCACTAACTGAATTTTAAACGATTATTGAGTGAAATATATTTTAAAAATAAGTTTATTTTCAAAAGAGGAATAATTTGATGAAATAAAAAGTTTATCAAGATTATTTCAAAAATTAAATTTATAACAATTAATGAAAATAGTAATTTTTACTTTTAAATAACATTTAAATTAAATAAAGATTTTTATAAAGTTAAATGAAAACAATTATATTATAAATAAAGATTTTAGAAAGAAAATTAAAGAATATAAATAAAAATAAATAAATTTGGGAGGATTTCTAAAAACCTTTAAAATATTTTTTTATTAAGAAAAATCAAGTATTTTTAATTGTGATTAATTTAATACAACATGGATTACAATAATGTATGTTAAAAAATTAGGTTAAAAAAATTGTGTTTAATATAATTTAATTTAGAATTTATTTTAATATAATTTTCAGTAGTTTTTATTTGGTTTAAAAATGAAATACTTGAATTATTATTTATTTTAAATTTGAAATAATTTAAAATTAAGAATGTTAAATTATTGAATTTTTAATAATTTTATTAAAATGATAATTTCAATTGATTTTATTAGAATGAAAATATATAAAATAAAATTAAAGAAATAGATAAAATTATAAAAAAAGGTGGAAAAGAAAACAAATTCCTTATTAAAAACTATTTTCAGTATTTGTCGTGCTAATTTTTCATAAATTGAATTTAGTTAATTTCTTTTTAAATTAGATATGAATTTCTTATTTCAAGATTTTTAAGTCCAAGAAGCTAAGAGAAAATATTGATCTGTTTTTGGAGTAGAAACATGGAATGTTTACTTTATCATATTAAAGTTACAGAAGGTTAGATAACGGATTGATGTGTTAGTAGACCAAGTAGACATAAAATGTTTCCTTGCGGCCTTTTCAAATTCCTAGAATTTTACAGGATAAAGAAATGAAAATAAATGACTGAAAATAATTTTAAAATTTACTGAAAAAAGAGAAGTTTAATCAATTTTTTTAAATTTAAAAATATTATTATTGTTTAAGTTTTATTATTATATAAATAGTTAATATATATACAGTAATAATTTATTTATTCAATTATGTTATTTATAAATAGTTATTAATTAATAATCAGAAATATTCATTAAAAAATAGTAATTATTTTACTTACACTGTTCTGTCCCAAAATTCCACAGAATCTATTGCTTCAGAAGAAGAAAATTCCATCATTGAATCGAGGTATTTCTTAAAATTCAAAATCTGCAACAAAAAGAATTTTACTTGTTATTATTATTATTACTTTAGAATGTAATTTTAGAAATAATTTAAACATTCTGTACGGAAAAGTTGAACTTACCAGAAGAACGTTCCTGCAGAAATAGTCAACCGCACGACAAAGCTGCTTAATCCTATATGAGGAGCTGTAACGAAGAACTCACTCGCCGCTCGGGTGACGTTGTATTGCCGACGATCGATTGTCCAAATGAGCGGCTGGATCTAGAGATGCGAAGAGGTAATATTACCCGGAGAACGGTAACGAGAACGAGAATATAACCGATCAAAATTCTCCAAGAGAATTTATGAGAATTTTTGTGCTTGTATACGAAACATAGTTTCTACAGTTTATCTGATTGGATAATTCTATTTGTATATTAATAGAATTAAGGGTGCAGCCCCATGTGGTAGAATAGTAGAATAGTGGAACAGATTTGACCAATCAGAAAAAGTTTTCAAACAATCCAAGCATCTGATTGGTCGAATCTCAAAAATCTAAATTTATTATGAATTAACTTAAAAACATGATTTATTTTTTGAATTATATTGTCATGGAATTATTTATTTCTTTTTATTAATATTATGTAACGTTAATTATTTCTTTAATACTCAATTTTTATTTAAACAATTTCTTTTGATTTTATAATTTGATAATATAGCGCTAGCATGCGTTCAAATGTATAGAAAATTCTCTTAAATTCTCCGGAAGGAGAATATTCTCTGTCATATTCTCGAGAATATAACCTTAGTTTAAATTACCGAGAATTTTGCATCTATAGCTGGATCGTAAAAGGGCACGTAAACTTTTTCCTCCGAAAAATAAAATCCTCTGAACCCTGAAAGTTCAACTTTCGAATTTTAATGTCTTTCGTTTTCTAAATATACCGACAAAAACGGTTTTTTTTTAATGAAATTTTAATTGTTTTTCTACTTCAACTCGCGATAAATCAATCAGTTTTACAAATTTCTTAACTCATAAAAACGAAAATACGCGTTATTATATCCTACAAGTGACTAAAAAAGAAAATTGTCAGTTTAATTAAAAATAAAAAAGTTATTAATTTTTTGTTGATACATTGCAAAATTCGTGAACTGTAATTTTCACTATACGAGGAAATCGCGCAAATTTTGAGCAACAAAAAACTTCCTGTGAGATAGTTGTTTATTATAGTCCACAAAAGTTTTTCTTAAAAGTTACAGTTCAATCAAACAATTAGTTAACAAATGGTGAATGTTGAAAGTCGTCGACTGCTGAAAAACCCAGCGCGCGTTTCTCACCCGTACTAAGCTGCAGAGTACTACTCTACGTCTTACATCTACATTAATGTCAAAAAGTGGTAAAAAAAGTTTTACATAAAATACAAAAGTAATTGTTAATTAACAGCTCATTAATTACACTATGAATATTACTATAATTAAATATAATAAATATAAGGAGTCACTAAATATTACAATTATTGTATATTTTTTATTATTAATTATAAATATTTTATATTACTTAAATAAAGTGACATTTTCAAAAGTTTAAATAGTATAATTAATAAGCAATTAATTAATAATTATTTTTGTATTTTACATAAAACTATATTTCACCACTTTTCATACATATATACGGAAAGCACCCTTTAACCATTTTTGCCCTCCAAATTGAGGTTTAATTTAGGGGCAGTTTTGATCTACAGATCAAGATTGGGGTAAGCACCCCTGCTCGAAAAACCTAAAGGTTAAGGGGAGGGACCTGTGAAATTTCAACCCCTTGAAGTTTACGTCGTTGAGAGGTCCCAATTTTTTTTCTGGCATAATTCAGGTTCTAAAATCAAGATATAGTGTCAAAATTAAAAAAAAAAAATTTTCCGCCATTTTGAAAATTCTATTTTTCACGAAAATTTAAATTTTCAAAAATCCATACGATTGATTGTAGGGAGTCGTGTCAAAAGCATGTAAAAAAATTTTTGTGAAAAAATATTAAAAATTGTAGAACTAGTTCCACTTTTTTGATAAAAATATGAGAAATATTACATAAAATACGTTATATTTTCAACTACTTTTTTATTTTTCATATAAATACACCCATACATACATGTACACATACATATATACATACATACACACATACATACATATATTCGTACATTCATTATTACATACATTCTCAATACACAGGTACACACATACATACATACATATATACGACATTCATACATACATACATTCTCAATACACAGGTACACACATACATTCTTGTACACATTCTAGAACATGCCCGCTGCGTAAGTTGTACCTTCATCTTCTATCAAAATTTTCTCTCTGTTGCTCTGTGCCAGAGCTATAATTCTTCGCGCATTTTTGAATTTTTCTGTCAATTTGTAAGTTTTTTGATTTTCAAATGCATTCAAGAATCTAAGTCAATTTTATATCTAAGGATTTTTCACTTCTTGAGACTATTTGAGATTACAAAAGAAATGAATAAATACATACCTGAATATCGCCCTTATTTGAATATATGGCTTTCTTATAATATTCAGCAAGCTTTTGTATGGTTGACTGCTTTAGTTGTTCATGTCCTCTTCCCCCAAGTGTGTTTTTTCGTGCTCTTTCCTCTACCACAGTATTTGTCAGTCCTGTATATAATTAGAATCGAACTCAGAAATAAATCATATGTTACTTACCTCTTTCCGACATGATTCACGCAATCTTCTTTGATTATTTCTAAATCGTCTCCATATATATTCAGACTAAGCAAGTGATTGAAAGTTTTAGCGTCCCCATCTGAAAGTATTGTTGTAAATCGGAAACCATACGACTCCGAACGTCTCCAAATACTTTCTGCTATTTTTAGTTCCATGGAAGCTGAAGAGCCAGAGTGGTTGCATTGACAATCATTAGCATGTCCTTGTTGCCTCATATAAATTCAGGAGAAACTTCTACTAATTCGGCAGTTGCAATACTGCAAGCCTGACAAAATTTTGACATGACATCAAAGTCAACAATCAGTCCACTCTCCAAATCGATAACGCAACCAATTCCATGCTTAGATTTGAAGCCACGAGTATGCCAGGATCCATCATAACTAACGCCGATATTCAATATTTGTTCAGGATTTATTTCATTTGTCATTCCAACATCATTTCACAGTTCAACTTCAGAATTTGATGTGTGCATTCGAAAGTGATTATTATCAGGGCAAATTTCTTCCAATAAATCTTTGTTTTTAGCATATTCTTCTCTAATCAGAGATCTGCTTTTTTCCATAAATTCTTTTGTTACTTTATCAACGCATGTACTTGCCGTTGTAACATAGCTTTGAAAAGTAGATTTTGCAAAAGGTCGCATGTTTAGAGACATAGCAAACTGTTCAATTGCAGCGTAACCTTTTCCCATATACAAAAACGCAGTTGCTATACGTAGATTGATATCAAAAGGTGGTCTTATACTTTTTTCCGATGTTGTTCGTCTCGAAGTATAAACTTCCGATTGTAGAGAGTCAAGTCCGTTTCTTTCACACTCTTCACATTGCAAGCTGAGTTTGCATGCAAATCCATAACCTTTGCTATCTAAATTAAACTTCAATGCATTTCCATTACAGTCACTACATTTCACTTTCATTAGAAGAGGATTTAGCTGCGTGACATCAATAAAAGCGTATTGTAAATCAGTATCATTTTCACTTACTTCACCGGACAATATATCAATTTTGTTTTGAATTCTTTTATTTATCTCAGGCTGGTGATCCGTATGAATATCACTTGAATGATCGAAATTATCATTACTTGAAGAGTCAAAATTCAAGTATTCACAATCAATATCAATACTATTCACAATCAATTCCTGATCTAAATTTCAAATTTCAATAATCAATTTTTATGTCGAACCGGTGAAAATATATGTAATGTCATTTGTTTATTTTCAGTTCAATTCGTCCTGACAACCGTAAACATGTTCTTTCAAGTAATTACATATATTTTTACCGGTTCGACATAAAAATTGCTTATTGAATGTTGAAATTTAGATCAGGATTTGATTGTGAATAGTTATTTTAAAAGCAACTATTGCGAAACTCAGTTTTGACGAAATTTAAGTGTTTTGTAAGTAAAATGCCTGCCAATAAGAAGAAAAAGTATTTTCACGATTTAGTAAATGTTCGCTGGAAAAAGAATGACGCTTGTAATATAAACAGTGATTTTGACTCTTCAAGTAATGATAATTTCGATCATTCAAGTGATATTCAGACGGATCACCAGCCTGAGATAAATAAAAGAATTCAAAACAAAATTGATATATTGTCCGGTGAAGTAAGTGAAAATGATACTGATTTACAATACGCTTTTATTGATGTAACGCAGCTAAATCCTCTTCTAATGAAAGTGAAATGTAGTGACTGTAATGGAAATGCATTGAAGTTTAATTTAGATAGCAAAGGTTATGGATTTGCATGCAAACTCAGCTTGAAATGTGAAGAGTGTGAAAGAAACGGACTTGACTCTCTAAAATCGGAAGTTTATACTTCGAGACGAACAACATCGGAAAAAAGTATAAGACCACCTTTTGATATCAATCTACGTATAGCAACTGCGTTTTTGTATATAGGAAAAGGTTACGCTGCAATAGAACAGTTTGCTATGTTTCTAAACATGCGACCTTTTGCAAAATCTAATTTTCAAAGCTATGTTACAACGGCAAGTACATGCGTTGATAAAGTAACAAAAGAATTTATGGAAGAAAGCAGATCTCTGATTAGAGAAGAATATGCTAAAAACAAAGATTTATTGGAAGATATTTGCCCTGATAATAATCACTTTCGAATGCAGACATCAAATTCTGAAGTTGAACTGTCAAATGATGTTGGAATGACAAATGAAATAAATCCCGAACAAATATTGAATATTGGCGTTAGTTATGATGGATCCTGGCATACTCGTGGCTTCAAATCTAAGCATGGAATTGGTTGCGTTATCGATTTGGAGAGTGGACTGATTGTTGACTTTGATGTCATGTCAAAATTTTGTCAGGCTTGCAGTATTGCAGCTGCCGAATTAGGAGAAGTTTCTCCTGAATATTATATGTGGCAACAAGGACATGCGAATGATTGTCAATGCAACCACTCTGGCTCTTCAGGTTCCATGGAACTAAAAATAGCAGAAAGTATTTGGAGACGTTCGGAGTCATATGGTTTCCGATTTACAACAATACTTTCAGATGGGGACGCTAAAACTTTCAATCACTTGCTTAGTCTGAATATATATGGAGACGATTTCGAAATAATCAAAGAAGATTGCGTGAATCATGTCGGAAAAAGGTAAGTAACATATGAATTATTTCTGAGTTCGATTCTAAATTACAATATTCAACAGGTTATATACAGGACTGACAAATACTGTGGTAGAGGAAAGAGCACGAAAAAACACACTTGGGGGAAGAGGACATGGACAACTAAAGCAGTCAACCATACAAAAGCTTGCTGAATATTATAAGAAAGCCATATATTCAAATAAGGGCGATATTCCGGTATGTATTTATTCATTACTTTTGTAATCTCAAATAGTCTCAAGAAGTGAATAATCCTTAGATATAAAATTGTCTCAGATTCTTGAATGCATTTGAACTCCCGGCGATCAAAATGGCTTACGCGTGACTTTCATTGGCCCCGCGTTCAGCGAGTTTCCAGCTATTCCAGGGGTCAAAGAAAACCTCGCGTAAGCTCTTTTGGTTGCCGGCGGTTCATTTGAAAATCAAAAAACTTCCTACTCTGTATTTGAATATAATGTAAAATTTTTTATAGAAAATGAAAGACGCAATACTAGCGACCATTTATCATGCCGTTTCTACCGACGAAGATCCATTACATACAAAGTGCCCTGATGGTGAATCTTCCTGGTGCTTTTACAACGCAGCACTAGCAAAAAACAAAAATCCTGGAGACCACAAGAAAAACGTACATACACCGCTAAATAAAAAATGTTTTGAAAAGGCACTTCCTGTTTACAAGAGATTGACAGAAGAGTCATTATTGATTCGGTGTTCAAGATGCTTGACTCAAAATGCCAATGAGAGTTTGCATAGCGTTATATGGAATAAATGTCCAAAAGAGGTATTTGTTTGCAAACAAAGGGTACAAATTGCCACGTCTCTAGCGATTTGTGAGTACAATTTCGGTAGTACAAAAACTGTCAAAGCGTTACTTAAAAAAATGATGCTACCAGTAGGGAATAACACGCTCTCAATCGCTGAATCACGGGATATAAAGCGAATAGAATCAGGTATAAACAAATCAACAGAAAAATTCAAAAATGCGCGAAGAATTATAGCTCTGGCACAGAGCAACAGAGAGAAAATTTTGATAGAAGATGAAGGTACAACTTACGCAGCGGGCATGTTCTAGAATGTGTACAAGAATGTATGTGTGTACCTGTGTATTGAGAATGTATGTATGTATGAATGTACGAATATATGTATGTATGTATGTGTGTACCTGTGTATTGAGAATGTATGTAATAATGAATGTACGAATATATGTATGTATGTGTGTATGTATGTATATATGTATGTGTACATGTATGTATGGGTGTATTTATATGAAAAATAAAAAAGTAGTTGAAAATATAACGTATTTTATGTAATATTTCTCATATTTTTATCAAAAAAGTGGAACTAGTTCTACAATTTTTAATATTTTTTCACAAAAATTTTTTTACATGCTTTTGACACGACTCCCTACAATCAATCGTATGGATTTTTGAAAATTTAAATTTTCGTGAAAAATAGAATTTTCAAAATGGCGGAAAATTTTTTTTTTTTAATTTTGACACTATATCTTGATTTTAGAACCTGAATTATGCCAGAAAAAAAATTGGGACCTCTCAACGACGTAAACTTCAAGGGGTTGAAATTTCACAGGTCCCTCCCCTTAAGGCTTAACATTAATTTTCAACTCCCTATTCGTGTCAAAGTTTAGGTCAAACCTCCTGTTATCTGAAAATGTCAACATTTCAAATAAATTTATTATTTTTTAAAAATTTTATTGATTGGTTTCAGCGAAATTCTTTGAAATTTATTAGGTTTTTTTTTTGTTATTCAAGATGTTTCCAAGATGCACCGCGAGGAGATATAATAAACTTTAACATTTATTTATTTTAATAACATTAAAGTTTATTATACCTCCTTGCTGTGAATCTTGGAAACAAATTCATTGAAAAATAAAAATTTAATTTATAATTTAATTTAAACAATTTTAAAGTATTTGGCTAAAAACCAATCATTTACTGCAACTTATTATGATGCAATCATATTAAGAAAACAGGATTTGAAATATATAAAAATTAAAATAAATACCAAAAATAGAAATTGGGGGTTTGGCGCGCAGGGGGGCGAATCCCCCTTGTATATATATATATCTATATCTTTTTTTCAACACTCTGGTTTCTTAAAATACACTATAATAAAAATAATTCATAAAATTTTAGAAACAAAATATTCAAAAACAGGGCCGTAGCAACAGTTTTTTTGAGGACCCTTCTGAAAAAAAATTTTTTACGGTGGTCACGACATTTTTTGACTGCTTGATCTGAAATTAAAAACCCAAATATTTTCTGCTAGTAAGTGAGAATATCTCGTGATTGAATCTAATTAGCAGAAAACAAAACCCTTCGTTCAATCACTAATATTTTGGTTTTTGATTTCAGATAAAGTAGTCAAAAAATAGCATGACCACCGCAAAATCAATTTTTTCAGAAGGGGCCTCAAAGAAACTGTTGCTACGGCCCTGTTTTTGAATATTTTTTTTAAAAAATTTCATGAATTATTTATATTATAGTGTATTTTCAAAAACCAAAATGTTAAAAGAAAAACATTATTTATTATATAAAAAAAATTTTTTTTTCGTAACATACATTTCCTGACAGTTTTGACCTATGTAACCCTTTAATAAGTCGACTTGAAACTTTGTAGAAAACTTCTTTTTGTAATGATAAACAAATGTCTCACTGGAAATACTTTCCAATTTGAAGTTCCCCGCAGACTTTTTGTAGGAGAATATAAGGAACCGTAATTTGAGTCAGGTATTTATTTATATTAAAAAAATAATAAACAATTAACTTATTTTAAATTTATTTTTATGTTGTCGCTTTATGTGAACCTAAACGCATATGTATACCAAATTGCAATTAAATTAATTCACATTTGTCAAAAATATGATGATATATGTTTAAAAATTGAATGAAAAACATAAAATATAATTTTTCAGTTTTTTGCAATTATTACTTAAAGTATTTGTTGTATTAAAAAAGTAAGAGAAAAAAATTTTTTATTTCCTATAAGGAAGTACTTTCCAAAAATTTTAATTTAAAATTTTAATTTTTTCGGCATTTCGACAATAGGTAACGCCAGATAACTGTCGAAACGAGAGAGATAGGAGAGTTTTATACACCTGCCTTTGTTTTTTCATGAGTCAGATGAGGAAAGTTATAACTATATATATATATATATATATATATATATGACATATGGTAAAAACAAAGGCAGTTGTATAAAACTCTCCTATCTCTCTCGGATCGTCAGTTACTATGGCAGCTTGCACTCCAGTTATATAGAGCTCAGTGGATTTTAGATCCAGCCAATCACAAAATGCACTGGTTTATAATTTAACCATTGCCGAAAACGTGTGTATAATATTCTATTACATGCTCAGGACCACGAACGTATATACACTGAGCTTACTACAGAAAATAAAACATACTACATTATGTATATGTGCAATTTTTTTAAACAGACAACATTAGAGTTATTAAATTTTTTTTAAAATTTCATTGTCAGTACGCACACACTTCATTTTTTTAAAATACAATAATTATATTTTATTTTTAGAACATTTTAGAACATATTTTAGATACAAGTAATTGTTTATTCAAGAATCCAATGTCACATGCTTAAATGTTTTGAACTAATTTATTTATAATGAAGACAATTGTCATCTTTTATTAAATTTATAAGAAAAATGCATGTAGGTAAAATTTCTGGATATTAGACTTATTAGATGAGAAATTTGATTAGCCTTTAAACTAATATTTAAAAAATTATTCTATTTTATCATGAAATTATAAAATATTTTATTTTTTGCTTTCTCATGGAAAAAGTATTGTAATATTGAAATTTTTTAAATTCATTTTTTTGTCAAATCCTTATATTTTTTTACCTTAAGATTTTTAGACAATTTCATTCCATATGTGTTTGTTTATGTGTATACATTATTTTTTTTATAAATATCGCAAATTCTATAAAGGCTTTAAAGTTAAATTTCTTTTAAATTTGTAAATCTCACCTGCGGAGATAAAAGAGAGAACTTCAAGACAGATTAATACATATTAACTGTATTTTTGGGCGTTTTAAACTTTTTGAAACATCGTTTTTTACCTATTAGTAAACGTTTTATTGTGAACAACTATGAAATTATTATGGATATCATAATAATTAAAAATGTTGAGAACCGTGATTATTGCGATTGCCTATTTTTATTAAATTGCAAAATAAATTCTCAAAAATTAGATACAAAAAATCTTTACGAGAAAGAAAAGTATTCAAGGAATAAAAACAAAAAATACTTTCGTTAACATGGCAGCATACATTAAGTCACTTATTTATGTTCTAAGTACAAGAAAAACATAGTAAGACATAAAATCTCAAATGTTCAATACAATCTTATTACTAAATAAAACATCAAGAAAAAATCTTTTTGACACATACATGACACAGTCACAGCATCTGCACAAAATATATTAACGCGATGACCGCAAGATAACGTAACACGTGAAACCGAAATTAATAAAGGAATCAAATAAATAACATGATAAAAAATTATAAAAATTTTTTAAATATAAGCTTTACAATTTATATATATAGATAATTATAAAGATATTTAAATTCAAGTAATTACAATTTTATCAACTTCTTCTAAAACTTCAGAATAAACATAATTTTTTTTTAACTTATGACTTCTATGATCACCTAAATATACTTTGACTGAATCAAATGAACGTACTCTCGACAATGCTACATACAACTGACCATGATTAAAAACATCTCTTCTTAAATCAATTGAGATTTTATTAAAAGTTTGGCCTTGAGACTTATTTATAGTCATAGCAAATGCCAGTTTTATAGGAAACTGTCTCCTTTTAAATGCAAAAGGATAAACATTTTCACAATATAATGTTATACGATGCAAGAAAACAATATCTCCGCACTTAGCTCCAGTCAATATTTGACATTTTATTACATTATTTAATAAATCTAAGATTAACAATCTTGTTCCATTGCACAAACCCTCATTTATACTTAAATTTCTTATAAGCATCACTACACTATGTATTCTTAAATGTAATTCATGAGGAGGTAAAGCCGGTGGTGAAAGACTATTTAAATATTCCGGTAAAATTGTGTCACTAAAATCACCATTATCACAATTTTCAGTGGAATCAACACTTTTATAAATTTTTTCTTTATCACTATCTAATAATTGCACCACTCTTTTATTAATATCGTCAACATCAACGTTTCTAGGAGCTAAAATTGCACGATTTGCTATTTCCTGAAATTTATTTTTTCGAATTATGTCACCATACACATCATCAACAATATCGACATTTCCTTTTTGAATTATTTTTTCTGGTAATTCAATATTATCTTCTACATCATTTAATTCACCATTTCCAACCTTTAGTAAAAATTCTACAAATGTAGTTTCTTCTGGCAAAGCTCTCATATTTTCTGTTAAAGTAAACTTGGTAAAATGTTTCCAAACTTTACTATTTTTTATTGATAAATTTACAATTTCTGACCTTGTTCCTCTTTCTTTAATTGGTAATATCTGTCGAAAATCTCCACCTAAAATCAATACTTTTCCACCAAAGGGCTCGTTGGAGTTCATAATATCTCTTAATAATTTATCCATAATTTCTAAAGCATATTTTGGAGCCATTGGTGCTTCATCCCAAATAAAGACATCAGTATCCTTCAAAAAAATTCCTTCTTTAGATTGTAATTTAATACTTGAAGATGAATCACCATACAAAGGGACAGGCAAACCCAATATTTTATGAACCGTCTTACCATTAGGTAGTAGAGTTGCAGCAATTCCTGTAAATGCCATATTACAAACATTTTTTCCTCTACTTTTTAATAAATGCCACAAAGTATTATACATAAAAGTTTTACCAGAACCGCCCTGACCATCAACATATACACAACTACAATTATTTGTAACAAAATCATCCACTGATTTTAAAACATAATCAACAACATATTTTTGTTTTGCATTTAATTGGCTGTACTTTTCATTTCCTAAAATAATATGATCTTCAACATGCATGACATTATTTTCTTTTAAAATATGTGGTTCATCTTCTATATCTAATAATCCTTGAAAATCTGTTAGGATATATCCTTCTTGGTATAATAATGATTTAATATGTCTATAAGCTTTTTTTTCTGCTTCAATATTGTCTATTTCCCGATAGTCTTCTGACATGATTCCCTTAAATCGTTCCCACAAATCATTAGGTTCTACAGGATGACAATGAATTAAAATTCTAACGAATAATCGACGAAGTAATTGAGGCATCATCCATACAGCAGCTTCCTCAATTGTTCTAATCCATTCATGATCATCTTCTATAAGACCCAATGCTAAACAAACAGAAGTAAAAGTTTCATATACTACTCCATTAACTGTTCGTAAATCTTCAAAGGAAGTAGCACCTTTTCTTGTAAGCAACAACAATCTCAAATGAAACAATTCTATTTGAGAAGGACTAACAGAATATAGTCTTCCTATTATATTGTCAAAACGTTTTCTTTGACTCCATTGAAGATTATCACTTTTCCATGTGTAATGTTCTGGAATTTCTGAATAATAATACTGATGAGCATTTCTGTCACGTTTATTTAAATCAAAATAATCTAATAGTTTTGTGTTTCTTTCTAGAAGAAATGAAATCTGATTATTATCTTGTCCTTCACGAATAATAACATTTTGTTCATTTGGCAAATGTATAGGTAAACGATTAACACTGTGACTTTTTTTTCCTAAAGGTTTACTAAGTATTCGCCATACTGCTTCAACTGGACCAAGATATCTATTCTCTTCATAATGACGTATTTCATTATGGTTAAGAATATTTTGTCCATCAACATTTGTAATAATAATAGAAGCTGCATCATGACCTTTATAAATATACTTGTATAAATATTTCACAGAATTTATACTTGAAACAATTTCAACGTTAATATGACAGTTAAATATTTGTGACAGCACTGGTGAAAAAGGGACAACATGTCTATTATCTACAATATAACCATTAGGTCTTTCATACGTCTTACCTACATCTCTTCGCCGGTATAACACATACGAATCTTCTCCCATTGTAGTTTCATTTTGAAAAGCTTTTGGAAATTTTTTAGAACATTTGCCATCAACTATACACCAATCTCCACATGGTCCATGAATATTATTTTGCATTATTATTTTATGTAATGTAGAATTAGTTTTCTCGTCTGGAATTTCTGCTGAGATAAAACGATCAACACTTTCTGGTGTTAAAATTTTAGACTTTTCTTTCAATATCACCAACATATGAATATGCGGTAACCCTCGTTTTTGAAATTCTGTGACATAAACAAAAGATTTAACTTCACCAAACAACTTTTGACGGACAACAACTTCAACTAAATGATTCACTTTTAAGGAGAATACTCTTGCTACAATATCAGGTCTGTCAGATGCTGTTTGATTTAAAAACAAATTTTCTTGTATTTCTTTCCACTGTGGATTACATGTCATTGTTATAAATAAATCAGGTTTCCCATGTTTTCGAACAATAGCCATAGCATCTTGATATTGCTGCATCATATTACGAGGTGATCCAATAAATGTAGATGGTAAAATAACCATTTTCCCAATACGTATTTCGTGTTCATTTGATGAATTATGCATATAATCAATTAATCCTTTATAACTGTCACATCTCAATTGCTCTTGATTATTTTCACAATAAGAAAGTTTATCCTTCTCATACTTAACACCACTATCAACTAAATATTGTTGCAATAATCTCCCACCATGTAAAAAAGGATTAAATTCATTATCTCTTATTGCTATCTTATACTTAACAAAAGCAGCTCTAGAAACTTTCACTTTTTTTCGTCTGTTCTGACTGTCAGTACGAATCATATTAATATTAAAACCCTCACTACCATATGGATAAAAAATTGGATAAACCCAAGGTTCAACATTAGGATCTAAATTGCTCACCAACTGTAATTCTTGAGTTTGTTTATTATGAACTGTAACATAACATTCTGGAACTTCTCCTTCTGAATTAGTATTAAAAATAGCAGCTACTTCATTTACTCTCTGAAAATTGTATCTATTTCGATCCATTCCTTTCTTTAAAGTAAATAATAATTTCAATTCAGGAACTTGTTCATCGTTTGCTCTAGCTAACTCTGTTTCCATATCAATAACTTCTTTCATCATCATAAACGATTTAGTAAAAGCATTGTTTGTTCTCATAACATTTTCTATACTATATAGAATTTCAGTGTCTAACTTTTCATTGTAGTTTAATCTAAACTGAACTGCATCATCAGCATCATAAATAAATAACTGTCCAAAACATGGATCAACTCCATTTTCTGGATATAAGGCACTGTTCATCTGATAATATATTTGACCTTGAATTTTAAAACAATACGGACCTCGTCTTCTTTCCTTGAAATCAACAATATTTGCATTAAAAGAAGCAAAAGCAAAAGAAGTATTATAACATCTGACACATTGCATAAAATGAGCAGATTTAGGATGTGATCCATCTAACAATACTCTCAATTCATAAGGATACTCTTTTGTTTGCAACCTTACACCGCCATGGCTACAACAATCATTATAAGAATTTTTCTTGCCCCATATTTGTTCTTTATGAAAATGTTTAGCATCACAATGTTGACATACATAATCCATTCTTCCTAGATAATTTTCTGAATCTTCATGATTATCAAAATCTAACATTTTATTTTGTTTTTTATTTTCACGGTATCTTTTAAGCCTTGCATATGGCGTCTTTAATGTTAATCCTCCTAAATCCTTATTAACAAGTGACACTTTAGAGAACTTAGGGGACCCGTGACTAATATTATCTACATTTTCAACTAATGATTCTTGATCTACTTTTTTCTCTTCACTATTTACTTTCATTATTTTCTTTTGTATGTGATTCTTAGAACCTGCAATATCGTTAGTACACTGAATTTCTGAAGAACTAAAAAAATCTGTTTGATTTAAATTGAAAGTTTTATTATCTATAATTGTAATCACTTCCTGAACACTTTTTATTGGATTATCATATGTAGCACAAATTTCCTTAGAACTTTTATAATTTTCAATACATAACTTTTCTTTAATTTTTTTATTTTCACGATACCTTTTGATTCTTGCATATTGCGTCTTCAATTTTAATTCTCCTAAATCATTATTCACAGTTGTCCTTTCAGAACATCTAGGTGATCGGTAACTAATGTTATCAACATTTTCAATTAATGATTGTTGATCTACTTTTTTCTTTTCATTATTTAATTTTATTCTTTTCTTTTGTATCTGACTCTCAGCAATTGAAATATCGTTAGCACACTGAATGTCTGAAGAACTCAAAACATCTGTTTGGTTTAAATTGAAAGTTTTATTATCTAAAATTGTAGTCTCTTCCTGGACACTTTTTAATGGATTATCATTTGTAGCACAAATTTCCTTAGAACTTTTATAATTTTCATTACACAACTTTTCTTTCATGTTTTTATTTTCACGATATCTTTTTTGCCTTGCATATTGTGTCTTTAATTTTAATTCCCCTATATCATTATTAACAGATGACGCTTTCAAACATCTAGGTGACCCGTAATTATTGTTATACACATTTTCAGTTAAAGATTGTTGATTTACTTTTTTCTCTTTACTATTTAATTTTTAATTTCTTGTTTGTATCTGACTCTTCGAACTTGAAATATCATTAGTAAAATGAATATCGGAAGTACTTAAAAAACCCTCCTGGTTTGACTCATGGCTTTTATTATTTACATTTTCAAAGAATAATTTTTGCTGTCCTTTTTTCATATCATATTCAAGTTTTAACTTTTTACATGGTGAATTTAAAGTAAAAAATTCAGAAACAGAAGGAGATTTTATAATTCCATTAGAAAGTTCATAAGACCGATCAATTAAGAGACGCTTCCAATCGTATTCAACAATATAATATCTAACATCGCACGATTGTTTCCTTTCAAAAGGAAATAAACGACTTTCTTTAAACATTGCATTTACATTCTTTCGCATTTTGCTCATTTCATTTTCTTGAATATCACTAATTGAATTTTCATTAACAATAACATAATCAAGAGTATTTGGCAATTCATTAAAAAAAATTGAGGTAGCAAATGCTATTGAAAATACTCCACAATCATTACTACCGTATGGTTGTTGTTGAACAGTTGCAAAAACTACTGGTGGATTAAAAGGATATAGTCTACTTAAATAATTAAATTGATCTTGATTTAAACGACCTTTATTAAGACTATCATAAATATATACCATTTGACCATCATAATAAGAACATATCCAATGTCCAGCTGTCTTACTTCCACTAAAAAGTATTTGAATATGCTTTTCTCCTACTTTAATTGCCTTAATTAGATCAGGAGTTTGTAATAACAAAGTACTTTGCATACTAAATATTAATTTTGACTCTCTCTCCAATATCTTTTGAAATTCATGAATATGAATATCATCCAGCATTCCATCTTTAGAAACTTTAACCTTATTTTCCACATATAAAGACATATTTCGTTGGACTGTTTACAAGTAATCACAATCACAGTATTTCTCTAACAATCTAATCCAATCCAATTCAATCCAATCCACAAACAAATTTGCAAAAACCAATTTTCAAATACCAATTTCCAAATACCAATTTTCAAAAACCAATTTCCAAAAACCAATTTCCAAATACCAATTTCCAAAAACCAATTTCCAAATACCAATTTCCAAATAACAATTTTCAAAAACCAATTTCCAAATAACAATTTGCAAAAACCAATTTTCAAATACCAATTTCCAAATACCAATTTTCAAAAACCAATTTCCAAAAACCAATTTCCAAAAACCAATTTCCAAATACCAATTTCCAAAAACCAATTTCCAAATACCAATTTCCAAATACCAATTTCCAAATAACAATTTTCAAAAACCTATTTCCAAATAACAATTTTCAAAAACCAATTTCCAAATACCAATTTCCAAAAACCAATTTCAAAATACCAATTACCAATTTCCAAAAACCAATTTCCAAATGACAATTTCCAAAAATCAATTTCCACAACTCAATTACATCCACCCGGATGTAATTATAAGTTGAGACACCTGAAACAAAATTAAAATATATATTTATATATGTATATAAATTTAAAAATAAAAAAAATATAAATATACATATTTTTTTAAACTTATCACTTATATATATATATATAGGGCATTCTCTGTAAAACGACCCCCCACCCACTGCCCAGAAAGGGTTTAGAAATAAAAGACCATTCTTTTTTGTAAATTACAGCTTAGGATGTGTAGTTGCTTAGGCCATATGGCTTCTTTTAACTACAAATTTTTCTTAAACAATAATAGCGTTAGAAATAAATAAATGCTAACAAACAAAATTAATAAATTGTTTCAAAATTTTCAAATTTCACCAGATTCGCTTAAAACTTGTTACTCGGGGGTTTTTGGGGTCGCTGATTACGAATGTAAAGTCCCTTTTTAAAAATTCAAAATGGCGGACAAAATTTTGTAATTTGTTTAGATTCAGTTAGGATTTGTTACTCCGGGGATTTTTGAGTCGCTGATTACGAATCTGGTCACTTTTTAAAAATTCAAAACGGCGGACAAAATTTTCTATTTTGATCATACTCACTTAAAACTTCTTACTCGAGGGTTTTTGGGGTCGCTGATAACGAATCTGAAATCACTTTTAAAAAATTCAAAAAGGCGTACAACATTTTTTAATTTAGTCAGATTTACTTAAAACTTTTTACTCCGGGATTTTCGGGGTCATTGATTACCAATCTGATGTTACTTTTTAAAAATTAGAAATGTCGGGTCCAATATTGCGGACAAAAAATTTTATTTTTGTCATATTTACTTAAAACTTTTTACTCAGGTGTTTTTGGGGTCGATAATTTTATTTTTACTAACTTTCATTTTCTTCAAATTGTAATTCAATATTTCTGTAATACAAATTGTTTTTAAACATATAATTTGCTTCATTGGCTAAAATAAACATTACCATATTGAATTTGTAAAAGTGACAGAAAATTTGTAATCATCGAGCACAAAAACTCCCGAGTAAAAAGTTTTAAGTGAATCAGACCAAATTAAAAAAATTTGTCCATTTGGAATATCTAAAAAGTGACTTAAAATTCCTAAGCAGCGAATCCAAAAACACCTGAGTGACAAGTTTCAAGCGAAACTAACCAAATTAAAAAAAATTTCTCAATTTCGGATCCGCCATTTTGAATTTTTAAAAAGTTACTTCGAATTCGTAATCATCTACCCCAAAAACTCCCGAATAACAAGTTTCAAGCGAATCCGATCAAATTAAAAATTTTGAAACAATTTATTCTTTTTGTTTGTTAGCATTTATTTATCTGTAACGATATATTGCCTAAGAAAACTTTTTAATCAAAAAAGCCATACGGCAAAAGTAACTACACATACCAAGCCGTAATTCAAAAAAAAGGTTGATCTTTTATTTTTAATCCTTTCTGGGCAGAGGGGGAGGGAATCCGTTTTACAGACAATGCACCATATATGTCAAAGCGATTGAGAAAACGGCGATTACAACAAAATAAACAAAAGAAAGATACTTGTACAAGAAAATGTACATGATCTTGTTCATGTTCTTACACATGTTAATTTATGTTTTTCTTTACTAAAAAATAAAAACTTCAAAGGCTGCGCAATATTTTACTTTAACCTTTACAGCTGCGCAATAGTTTTGCGCATAAGTTACGAATCTTAGTGGTAAAAAATTATTAAAATCTCAATATTTATTAAAAAAAATTTTTTTAAAAAATTGTAAAAAAAAATTGTAAAAAAAAATTGTAAAACAATATGTACATTTTCTTGTACAAGTATCTTTCTTGTACAAGATCTTGCACCAGATCTTGTACAAGACAAGTTTAGTTGCTGATCCTGTACAGGAAAATGTATAAGATCTTGTACAGGGATTTTCAGTAGGGAAAAATGCCAAAACATTAGTTTCGAGAAAAACGAGTTTAAATTTCGAGTTTACCATTAGCTCCCATGCTAATAAAAAATTAAAAATAAATTTTTTACGTGTTTATAATTGCGAAAAAATTATGAGAAATGCATGAATCAACGCGGGAAACTGTAAAGATTGTTTTCCATCAATAAAAAAAAATCGAAAATTTGAAACATTTTTAGATAATAGCCATTATCTCCTAAAATAAAATCGACAAAGTGGTACCTTTTTATGCGGACGTCCACATACACATATTTAAGAAAGAACAAAAAAAATATTTATTTTATCAAATTAAAAAATTATTTTAAAATAAAATTCTACAATAATACAAGATATTCATAAATTAACTCAAAATTACCAACAATCAATGGCAATAAATATATTATCAAACATACAATCATACACACAATCATCATACACACAATATGTATTACATTATAAAACAATAAAAACTTACTTTTTTTTCCTTTCCCCTTTTACACTAAAACACTGAAATTTTTTTATTCAATTTTGGTATTTTTGCTTTTCAACGTTCAATGACAACTTTTATATTCAATCAAATATATTCAAATAATAAGTGATGAAAGTGAGTGCTGCCATAGTAATTTACCAGTCCAGTAAGAGGGGATATCATTCCCCCACAATGGCATTCCGCGTT